AATTTTACAACAATTTTTATACCATGTGTGACATATTCTAATATTTAAACGTAGTGAGAAAACGAGTAGCATAATTTTTTTAAAACAACTCTCAAGTGTCCACAAGAAAATTTTCTTCTTCAATTTTTATGGGACATTATTTGCATAATTATCCAAAAGAATCAGAAAAAATTGTGTTACTTCGAAATTTATACTCAAATTTAAGTTTTTTTTAAGGGTTTTTTTCAAAGGTTTTTACAAAAGTTTTATTAAACTTTGTGTTTTGCTGTAAAATTTAACTAATTTTTGTTTATTTTTAACGGTTTTGGGTGAATGACAAATTTTCTTTTGAAATTTTAAACATTCTTTTTTTTCCTGGTTAGTTTTTAATTTGAGAAATTTACTTTTTCTAAACAAAAAAGAAATTAACTCGACAATTTTTAGGATTATAATTTCTAGATATAAAAATTTTACGATTCAATTTTTTACGATCTCACCTGTGGACATTTTTTTCGGAATTTGAATTATTAGACTTATAAGTAAATTGTCAAAAAGCTGAGGCGAGAATTCAATATAGACAATAGAAAAAAAATACTTTTGTTTATGGCATTGTAAACCGCACTGAAAATATGTCATTAACGATTAATGACTTTGAATTCTAATGAGCGTAAAAAAATATATTTAATAATTACAAAAGTTCGAGAAAAACGACAAAAAACAAATAAAAAAAAAGCGGTACATATTTATTCGTATTAAGCTGCGTTCGCTCGATCCGCGCAAATGCATAATAAAAAGAAAAATAAAGATATCAGTATAAAAAAAAAATAATAGTAATTTAGAGAGAGCTATAAATCTACGATCTACCCACGGAGCACGATGCTTACCGTTTACGAAAACGAATTTCTATATGTCGTAAGAAATCAGTCGTTTAAGTAGTGATAATTGTAGTCGATAAAAATTATATATCTGGAGTTGAAAAAAGAAAAAGAAATGAAATTTCAACTCCATCACTTAGAATCGTCAGCGATTTTTTATGTTCGTAGATTTTATTATGTTTTAATTTTTCTCCGATTTTTTTACACAAAAAATTCAAAACTCACTACTTCAGAATCATTGTAATACGATTCACGCTCTCAGCGGCTTCTCAATTGAAATCAAGTTTCAAAATTGACAACTCTACTTTTTAAATAAAATGAAAAAAAATATCAATGGGATTTTTAATTTTTAATTTCGCTATTTTACATTTTTCTTTCTAACATTTTTCTACATGAATATTTTAACATTCCGTTAAAATATTCGTTTTTTCTAATTCTCGTCTATTTAAAAAGAAAAAATATTTTAAAATTTGTTTCATTTAATGAGATTTGAAAAAATTAAAGAGTAAAAATATTCTATTCGGTTTTTGAGTGTTTTTCTAATTTTAATTTAGTTTTACAATTCTCGTATGAAACGAGAATCTTCTTTTAACAAGAAAATTTTTTTCAAAATTTACTTTTAATATAAATTCTTTTTTAAAAATGGTTTTATATTTCTTTTTTCAATTTGAAGCCACTGGGACATTATAAATTGATCACGTCACCGCTTTAATTGCGAAAAAGGCAAAATTCTTGTAAAGAGTCGAAATTTCTATCGCGAAAAAGAAAATAAATTTCTTTTCGGAAAATGTACAGCGTTGACTCAGTTGTGTTAAACGGAATATTTTTCAACAGTCGCGGTTCAAGTTCTAGAGAATGTAACTCACGGATGTGTTCTGACTTTTTTACCGAAAAATATTTCTCTAAGCAATGTTTAACACAGCTTTGAGACGAGGCAAACATTTTCCATTTTCATGCAGCAATTTTCGAAAATTGGCAATTTTTCCAAAAACCTTTCGAAAAATAAGACAAAATGTCAGAAATTGAAAAAAAGGTTCTTAAATCGAAATATTTCCACTTTTTGAAACTTGCCATCATTCATATTCATTTCTGAAAATAGTAATAATAAAATACAAAAGTTAAATCAAAATTAAATTATTTTGAATAATTTAAATTAAATAATTTAAATAATTTGAATATTTAAATAAATTTAATTTTGATTTAAAAAAATCCATTCTTTTCCTCGCGATAGAAATTTGACTCTATTCCAAAAAAAATAAATTTGCTGTTAAATTTCAAATTTTCTCCAAAACTATATAAAAGAAAAAAATTGTTCGCCCTCGTTTAGATGTCAATCTTCTCTACAATAAAAAAAAAATAAATTCGTAACCACGTCCTGCCGCGAATCAATGAGAAAATTTATCTATTTTCTCGAGACAAAATAAAAGTACAAATAAATAGAGAAGTGACACAGACACACATACACAGACGATAAATATTGCAAACGAGAAAAAAAAAAGTTTGGAAAAATTTTGAAAATTTCACGACACAAAAAATAAAAAGCGGAATTTTCACTAATGCAAAAAAAACGAGCTATATATCGTTACTCGGTAACATTGATTAATTTTGTCTCTGTTGAGCTATAAAAAAAAAAATATAAAAAAAAATCGCCAATCGTTTATTGTCACCGTCGTCATCGTCATCATCGTCGTTGTCAAATTCAGATTCGTCACGGTTAAACGAGTAATAAATTAAAATATAAAGAAAATTTTAAAGTTCCATAGAAAATTTATCATCGACTCAGTAAAAATTAATTTTACAAAATTTTCTCTCTTTTCTGCTTCGCCTAATGTATTTTTTGCCAAAGACAAAATTTTCATTTGCGAAGCAATAATTAAAAAATAAATTTTCCTTTCTGTTCTTTTTACTAAATTCCGTTGAATTTAGAAAAAAAATCCGAAAGAAGGAAACTTTTTACTAAGTCGAAATTGAAGAAACTCGTTTCCCTTGTCGAATCTTTTTTTCCGTTCAAAATACAGAAAGACAGCGATACGATTGATAATATTGAAATAGTATATTTATTATATTTACGGAAAGAAAAAAAATAACGAAAGATAAGATTATAAGCAAGCACAGAGTTATTTAATAAAAGAAATGAAATTTAAATTTTCGAATTTACAATTTTACGCTATAGGCACAGTTATCGTGCGTATCCTTTCGAATCATTGTTAAGATTATATTAATTGAAAAAGAAAAAAAAATGAACGAAGGGACAAACACAAGTTGTACTGGTAGTTATTATATTTATATTGAGCGCATAAATATATTTATAATAACTTTGTCAACGTATATATATTATTACTATTATAATATAAAAGATGATATATATAAATATATAAATATTATATATTCTCGGCGACGAAAAATGACAAGACGACGATGACGATTGAAATTGGCGAGATAATATATTGTAGAACATACAATTAATGTTATTAAACATTATATTTTATTAATTATTATATACATACACATATAAATATATAAATATACTTATATAAGTATCATGTTACATAGAATATATGTTACTACAACTTCTTCCGTAATTTTCCTTTCTTTCATTTATTCCTCTATTTCACCTCAATAGATTATTAAAATAAGTACAATAAGTTAACGAAAAATACACAAAATTAAAATTAATTTTAAAAGCAATTAAAAGGTTTTTACTATTGAATTAAAGAATAAAAAAATATTTTGCAGTCAAAATTTCTTAAGGAGAAATATTTCACCAGAGTAATTAATTCAATTTAATTAAATTGAACTAAAATTAAATTAAAATTGAACTTGAATAAAATTAAAATTGAATTTAAAAGAAATGAAAATTAAAAAAATATTTTACCTTAAAAATTAATTTAACCAAATTAAATTAAAATAAAATTGAAGAATTAAATTAACTTTCAAAAACGAGATAAAAACTAATGTTTATTTTTTTTTGCATTGATAAATAAAAAACTATTTTGCAGTAAAAATTATTCAAGGCAAAATATTTTAATAATTAATTGAAATAAATTAAAATTAAATAAAAATTGCGAATTAATTTCAACTTGAAAAACGATTTAAAAAAATAATTTTTATGCTTTTTGCAATTATTAATTAAAAAATAGAAAAATCATTTTGCAGTGAAAATTACTCAAGGAAAAATACTTTTCCTCAAAAATTAATTCAACTAAATTAAATTAAATTCAATTTGAATTAAATTAATTAAAAATTGCGAACGAAATTAAATGTGGGAATCAATTTAAATTTGAAAAACTATTTAAAAAACTAATTTTTACGATTTTTGTATCAAAAAATAAAAAACCATTTTTCAGCGAAAATTACGCAAGAAAAAATATTTTTTACCTCAAAAATTAATTCAACTAAATTAAATTAAATTCAAATTGAATTTAAATTGAACGAAAATAATTGAAAATTTCGAACTAAATTAAATTTGACAATTAAATTAAATTTTAAAAATCCATTTGAAAAACTAGAATTTATGATTTTTTGTATTAAAAAATAAAAAAACACATTTTACTGTTAAACTAACTCAAGGAAAAATATTATATTATATAAATAATCAAATTAAATTAAAAATAAAAATTGCGAATTAATTTAATTTCGAAAAACGATTCAAAAAAATTATTTTTTATGATTTTTGCTTAAAAAAATAAAAAAAAAAGTTTTTTGCAGTGAAAATTACTCGAGAAAAAATATTTAATTTTAATAATTAATTAAAATAAATTAAACTGAATTACATTAAATTAAATGAAAAAATGAAAAAATTAAATTGAATTAAATTGATTCAAAAAAACTAATTTCTTTTATTTGCGAAAACTATTTCATGAGTTTTGTATTAAAAAATAAAAAACTATTTTATAGTAAAAATTAAGTAAAATAGTAAAATAGTAAAAAAATTATAGAAAAAATAATAAAATAGTAAAAAAATTGTAGAAAAAATAATAAAATTGCAAAAATACAGAAATAAAATTGTAGCAAAAAAATAAAATTACTAAAAAATTAACAAAAAGAGAAAATAAATTTTTTTATATTCAGTTCAAAAATTACCGCTGACTCGTCACGTGACTTTAAGCAACCAATGAAATTCCAGACGTTTAAAGCATGCGCATTGACAAAAATGTCGTTGACCGTTGTTGTGTCAGTCAAAATTTTGACTGAATGAATCTTTGTTTACTAACGAAAAAGCATAATTTACTATAATAGTTAATTTTTAAAAGCACAAAAGAAATATGTCAATAAATGTGACTGTCAACGGTAATCCGGTGAATATACGAAAAGGACGAATGGTCCTGTCAGATTTGGATCAAATCAAGAAAAATGAACGCGATCGCCGAAGGAGGTTACGTCTCGAACAGGTGGAGTTTATAAATATATTTTTTAAATTCAACTAGTACTGTATTATTTAGAAATATTGAATCAAAACTAATTTAAAATTATACTATTCAGAATCTTAATATTAATATATTCAAATTCGTTTAGTCACTTCGCAATTAATTTTCAAAATCGACTTTAGAACAATTGTGTCACAAATTGTAAACAAATGTTTCCTTTTTAACCAAAAAAAACCTTTTTCTACCTTTTTCTCAAGAAAATTTAATCAAATTCTAACTTTCGAATATTTTAGAAATAATATCTGAAAGAATTGTTTTTCTTTATACAGATCATACAAATAACAATCGTGAAAATTTCGGTCTGGGGTAATTCAGTAATTTAATTTAATTTCTAAATTTTGATTATTTAATTTTAAATTAATTTCAGTATAGAGTAATTTAATAATTTTATTTTATTAATAATTAATTTCAAGAAATTTAATTTCAACTTTGTAGTGAAAATTACTGAATTGTTCTACAGAGTAATTAAGTAATTTTCCAGTAGAAAGTAATTTAATTTAATTTAATTGATAATACATTTTAATTATAATTTTAATGTCAGTATAGAGTAAATGGGTAATTTTTCAATAGAGAATTATTTTCTATTTCAGTCTCGACAGCAATCGAAGGAAATATCAAATAGACTCTTGGAGCGTGCAAGAAATGCGGCTCAAAAGGAATTGAGCCGTCTTGAGAAGGATGGCAAGTGTGAGCTTAAACAGATGCACGATAGAAAAATAATGGATATGCAGCAAAAGTATCAGGAAGATATGGAAGATATTGGTCAGGCTCATTTAGCAGCAACACTTCAACCAGATGTCGATGCAATTATAGAAGCCGAAGCTAGAAGAAATAGAGCTCTTGCTATCGAAAGAGGAAGAGAAGCTGCCCAGAAATTAAAAGACGCCGAAGTGGTAAATGTTTTTTCATAACATTTACTAGTCAAAAATTTCAAAAAAAATCTAAAATTTTCATCAAAATTTCAATTATTTTTAGAAATAATTAAATATCTCTCCGAAATTTAATTATTTTCAAAAATTTTCTTCAATTCAATCATTTTCAATATTTGCATAAAATTTTCCAAAAGAATTCAATTATTGAAAAAAACAATTTAGTAAAATTCATCAAATCATTCAATTACTTTCATAAATAATAAAATTCTTCTTAGAAAACTAAACGATTCCTTTACTAAATGACAATTAAATTCCAGAGAGAAGACGCTCGATTGTTACAACAGGAGAGAATGAAAAAAGTTCGTGAAAAGGAAAATTCTCGAGCAGCAGCTATGGTTGAAAAATCGAAACAATCTATTAATAAGGACGAAAAAATAGTTCCAGAGCCGTATCATCAAAGTGATGAGGCAATAATTGAAATTCACGGCGATAATTCCAGGAAAACGAAGATCATTAAATCTCCTTCTAAAAAATCACCCATCAAAGTTGTGACAAAATCGAACGTCAAGGTTCGGATTCATTTATTAATTTTATCTAATCAATCTTTTGCCTTTCTTTAAATAAATATCTAAATAATAGAAATATCTAAATAAAAGAAATATCTAAGTAAAAGAAATATCTAAATAAAAAGAGTATCTAAAAAAAATATTTAAAATAAATATCTATTTAGAATTTAATATATTTCCAGGTGGTCGCGAATCATTCGAAATTGAAAAGCCACACTGGATCTTCCGAAACACGAAGAAAAAGTAAAGAGAAAGAGCAAAGAAGACATTTTAATTCGAAAAATCGTGCGAGAACTCAAGAACTAAATTCTTCTACTGCTTCACGAATTGCAACCAATCCCGATTCTGATATTGACGATTTGGAAGAAACTCCCGCAATAAATATAAATATTCCCTCTACAAAATCTAGCAAATATTCCAGGTATTTCACTTTAAGAGTTAAAAAAATATCTAAAACCGCTTTAAAACAGTTTTTTTTTTGATTTCGCAAAAAAAAATTGAGAGACTTTAATTATTGTCTAATTTTGAAAAACAATTTTTAGAAAACTAAACAAAAATTCCAATTTTCAGATACAATCCACAAGATTATATTCACGAATCAATGGAATCGAGTAGCAGCAGTGTTGACGGTAGTGACAGTAGTAGTTCGAGTTCAACAGGCGAAGATTCTTCCTACTTTTCGGATGCTGCCGATCCTCCGATTATAAAGAGAAATCCAAAATATAAAACCTCAGAGAAAAGTAAAGTTCAACTCTATGATCATAATACAAGACAGAAGAACGCCTACGAAAGACCTGCGGGAATCGTTCAACGAATCGATTTTACAAACGAGGTATTTTTTCTATTTTGCCAAGTTAAAGTTTCCTTTCTTTTTTTCTATATTAAAACAAAATTATTTGTTTAAAACTTATTCTTTTCTCCTTTTTTTTACAGCCGAATGCTGAAGATTTAGCCAGAGAAGTTCTCGAATCGGAAAATGCGAATGCCGAATTATTGAAAAAGCGAAAGACAAATGCCGACCGTCGAGGACAAGATGCATTGCTCCGGGAAAAAATTCGTCGTGATTATCAAAATATGATGGAAAATTTGGAGCATCTAGCACGGGATGAACGCAAATTAAAAGCGAGTCAAATTCACGAACCTCCGGTAAATTATTTTCAATATCTACTATAATTCTAGTTTAAGTTCTAATTTAATCTAATTTAATAAATTCTAATTCTAATTCTAATTTTTCTAATTTGAATTTTTTTTCTTCAAGAATCTACACATGTCGCCAATGAGAAAAAAGGAGATGCAAAAGAAGCGTCAGAGAAAAATGAATCGCGCTCTAGAAGGAATTTTACGAGCCTCTGAGGAACCACCCTACACACTGACGGAAAAAATCGTCACCCTAAAACCACAAGACGATCATCAACAGGATTTACAATTTCATCCCGACGCTTCTTGGCAAGCTCCGCCATTCAACACTCCCACTTCGCCGCGATCGCCCGAGAGAAAAGATAGTTTCGACGAATTATCCCGCGAGGAGCAAATTCTCGAACTCCTGCAAAAAGTCGAAAGACAAAAGAGAATTTTACTCCGTGAATTTGGCGCTCATCTCCCGCCCGACGTATTCACGCCTAGAATTGTCGAAACAAAAAATCCCGTTCACAATCCATCGCCTGAAATTCAAGTTATAAACATGTCGACAAGAGAGGAAAACACACAGACGAAAATTGAGAAAGAGGACAAAGTAAACAAAGTGAATAAAGTGAACAATGTTGAGAAAGTGAAAACGAAACAGTCGGAAATTGCCGTACAGACTTCGACGATAGAGAACGAAACTGCCGAGGATAAAGGAGTACAAGTAGAACTGACACAAGATCCTAAAGAAACAACCGAGTCGACAGTAGGCGATAAAAGTAAAAAAGTCGATCAAGTTGTCGACAATCAAAAAACACATCCACTCGAGCCAATCGTCAAGATCGTCACGCCGGAAATCGACGACAGCAGCAGTGGATCCTCCATCATCACCGACCTCGTGATAAACTTCGACAAAAAACAAGTCCAAGTCACTCCAAAGCGAAGAAAAAAAGGAACACTAAAACTCCTCCGTAAATCCTCCCCCCTAACTTCCAAATCACGTCCAATAAATCCATCCAATAAATCCACAACACCAACAAAAAAACCAAAATCCGCCCCCGTGTCAAGACTCCCAACACCGAAAAAATCTCCCAAATTGCAGCAAAAACGAAAAGAAGAATTCCCCACCGAAGTCGATGGTCTCACCATCGACTCAAGTACAGACAATTCCCAAATGTATTCCACATCAAAAAATGAATCGTCCTCCATTGGAAAAGTTTACATCCAAACACGATCATCGAAGAAAACAATAAGAATTCGCGACGCCTCCGATACAACATCAACATCGTACGCAAGTCCACCAAATCCACAGGCAGCAGCACTTTTGAATCATGGCAATCTCACCGATATGACACCAATTCTAGAATTACTCGATTCTCGGGCAATTGACGCACTACATGTGCGTAAATCGCAAATAAGTCCCGTCTCAACACCCGAGACACCATCGCCAAGAACCATTAAATTACCATCAAATGTTCCCAATCCAGAGAAAATTAGCAAAATGTTAAAATTCGTGGACAATACGAATGAAGGTGATAAAAGGCCAAGACAACAAATTAATAATCAAGTTACATTTGATCGACGCCAATTATTTCAACCATCGTCAACATTAAAAAGTCCCCAGAAATCAATGCAGGCATGTAATTGCAAAAATCCAAATTGTAAAATGCATTTTGATGAAACTGATAATAATCAGGCTTTGAAGAATTGTCCCGAGATTCAGAAATTATATGAAGAATTGGAGAATGTTTGTGCCGAGAGAATTGCATCGTTGACGGATCTTATCAAAAAATTACGCAACGAACCAAAAAGTAAGTTTTTTATATTTCATACAAAATATTTTTTCATTTAATATTTGGGTAAAAAGGGGAATTTTAATTATGGTTGCCACGCTTTTGCTTCAATAATTTTGATAAAATTCTTTATAAGAATTCAATTATTTTTAAAAGTTCAATAAAATTCTATGTAACAATTAAATTCACCTTCTTTCAAAAATATTTTTTCTAAATTGCAATTACTAATTAATTTCTTTTTTTTCAGTTCTTTCAACAGGAAACGATTTTTCACTAATATCACCACCGCCACCACCACAGGATAAAACAAGTTTCCTACAATTATCAACATCAAGTATTCCCCGAAATTTAAAAGACGTTCGCAATCTAGTGGAGAATGTGGAAGCAATAAATAATCAACTCGCCAAAACACTTCAAGAATCGAGAAAAATAATAGCTGGAGAAGGAATTGATTTACCAAAACCACCATTGGACTTTTCGCAAATTCAAAAATCTCCCGATTTCAGCGATTCAAAATCAAAAGAATCAACATCATCAAGTAATGACGATAATGATAATGATGATGGTGACGACGACGACGATGATGACGATCCTAGTGAAAAATTAAAACCAAAAATTCTTAGCCAAGAAACAGTGAAACTGAATCTCGATAAATTTCGTTTGTTTCAAAATCCTTCGAAAATTGATTTAAAAAGTGGAGGGACAACAGGACACGAAGATATTGTTGAGAAAATTTCCAACGAAATTTTACAACAAAGTAAAAGTGTTGACAAGTCATTGGGTTTTGTAACACTTGAATCATTCAAAGAAACCGACAGTTATCTCGCAATGAAGGAGGAATTCGATTTCCGTGAATTTGATTCGATTGATGAACAAAATGACAGGAATGTCCTGGAGCGAAGGACTTCTCAAAGTCCCAAGGTATGGAAATTTCGATAAGTGCATTTAATTCTTAAATTTAGAAAACTATTTTTTATATTTAATTATTTTATCTACTTGACATTTTATTGTAAATTTTTTTGTCTCCATTAATTACTTTTATCGAATTTGATTTTTATTTTCTCACTTATAAGTTAAATGAACTTTCCAAAACTAATTTTCAAATGAAAAAAAATTGTTTCAATTGAATTTAGGTACGAAAAAGTAAAGGTTCTAAGGATTGATTTCTCAAATGTAAAAATGGTCTTGTTAATAATTCAAGAGCGCTATTTCGACTACCTTAAAGGTGTTTCCTTTCCAATTTTCTACAATTTTTTAATAATGAATCAACTGATTTAAAAATCATAATTATTTTGTTTACAGAAAAAAGAAGATTTTATTCCAATATTGGCCGGAATTCCTAAAACTCCACGAGCTTTGCCTAATAACAACAGGGGACGTCCTCCCGTTACTTTAACCGGTGGTCAATACAGGTAAAATAATTCACAATCAAAAATATTAAATCTCCACTAACTACTTCCCTATTATTATTTATTATTTTCAAAATTTTTAATAAATTACTTTGAAAAAATTTAATTATATTCATAAATAAAAAAATTCTTCAGAAGAATTCAATTACTTAAAATGCAATTTTTTTAAAATTTCTATGAAATTCTTTAGAAGAATTTCTTTAGAATTCAATTATTTTCAACCCAATTTGAATTAAATTTATCGAAAAAATTCAATTATTTACAAAAATTTTAGTAAATTGGTAGCAGTCAATTCAATTTTTATAAAAAATAATAAAATTCTTCCCAGGAATTCAATTATTTTCAATAACTGTAATAAAATTCTCGAAAGAATTTAATTATTTTCCAAAAATTTTTAAACAATTCTTGCTAAGAATTCAATTATTTTCAATAAAACTTTAAGTAAATTTCTAGAAAGAATTTGGAAGAATTCAATTATTTTCAACATAATTTTAATATAAATTCTCGGAAAAATTAAATTCTTTTAATAAATTTTAATAAAATCTTTGCAGATATTCAATTATTTTGATAAATAAAAAAATTCGTCAGACGAATTCAGTTACTTTTAATACGTTTTAAATCAAATTTCTCAAAAAATTTTAATTATTTTTAAAATAAAATGAAATTTTTTTTTCCATTTTTAAAAAATTATCAAAAGAAATCAATTATTCAAAAAAAAGTTACAATAAAATTACTGGAAATAATTTAAATTATTTTCAACAAATTTTAAATAAATTAATAAATTTTTTTCTTGCAATGAATTCTGCTAAAATTAAAGAAAAATTGAATTGTTTTGAAGATAATTTAAATTCTTTCGGTGAATTTAATAATTTATAAAAATAATTGAATTCTCGCGAAGAATTTTATTATTTATAAAAATAATTGAATTCATCTGAAGAATTTTATGTAAAAATAATTGAATTTCTGCAAAGAATGTAATTAAAATTTATTTAAATATTAAAATTTTGTTGAAAGTAATTGAATTATTTCGAGAAATTTTATTGCTATTTTTCAAAGTCATTGATTTTTTCGGTAATGTTTTTAAAAATTGTATTGAAAATAATTATTGGTTAAGAATTCTATAAAAATTTTAAGAAAATAATTCAATTTGGGAACTATTTTATTAAAATTTTGAAAAATTATTCAATTTCTGCAAAAAAATTGCAATTCTTATGAAAATAATTCAATTTCTGCAAAAATTTTATTAACATTTATTAAAAAAAATTAAATCCTTAAGAGAAACTTGATTAAAATTGTATTAAAAATGATTCTATTCTTAAATCGAATTTTATTCAATTTTTCGAAAACAATTGAATTTCAGTTGAGAATTTAATTAAAATTTATTAAAAATAATTGCATTACTACCAGAAATATTATTAAAATTGTGTTCTTTCGCCAAATAAATTAATATTTAATTTAAAAATTTCTTTTAAAAAATTCAATTCTTTCAAAGAATTTTATTACAATTTTTGAAAATAATTGAATTTCCGGGAAGAATTTTATTATTTATAAAAATAATTGAATTGTTGGCAATCAAATTTATTAAAATTTTTGTAAATAATGTAATTCTTTTAAGGAATAATTCAATTAAAATTAAAATTAATAATTGAAAAATATTTAAAATAAAGAGTAATTATCAAATTAATTTTTATTTATTCAATTATTTTTAAAAATTGTAATAAAATTAATAATGCATGAAGAAAGCAAATGAAGACAACTAATTTCAATCTGCAAATAAATTAATAATTTATTTTATTATTAAACAAGTAAATAATTATCTAATAATTATGTAAATCAAACAATTTTTTTTCTCTCTGTTTTTTCCTTTCTAATCTCAAATAAAAATTTTCTTTGAATTTCAGGTCTCCCGCTCACGAACTTTCGACAATTGTTGAATTCGACACTCCCGACACGGCGGAGCGAAGTCAAGTTAGCGTGAAAACATCTCCATCAAAGGCAAAAAGAAGTCTTACTTCTGACATAACATCCCCATCAGTGAGTCCCTCTAAAAAATCTACCTTTAAAAAACCCTTAGAATTACCAAATTCAAATTTTCCAATTTCCAAAAATTCCACTAACACCACTAAACCTTCCGTTCATGTTGCTCCATTGCCCAGTCATCGAACACCAGAAACAACACCCAAACGATCACAAATTCAAAAATCACCAACTCAACTATTCCCCGGAAAATCACTCCTACCTCGAAGAGAAACAAAAACATTTGACGCCTTTGCCCTGCCAAAGAAGAACGAAAATTATCAATCATACTCATCGGTGCGTGAAATGAAGAAAAACGACAAATTTCAAATCGAAACAATACCAAGAGACGAAAATGACGCATCGGCTCTAAATACAAATAATAACGAATTTAAAAAACCCAGTTCAACAAGTTCAAATAGTTTTTCCCCACTATCGGGAATTTCGGAAATTGTCAGTACGCCCTCGTCGGATTTTCTAAAATGCGCATCATCGCCCGAGGAAATGGAGAGAACACTCAAGAAATTTGGTCTTGGTTGGGCGATAACAACATTGAAAAAAACACGCGAAGCTTCGGCTCTAAGTTCATCGTCAAATTCCGACGTAACGCCCATTATGACAGCGAGAAAAATTATCTCGCCAATCAAAAGACACGCGGAAAATCTTTATTTATATGGTTTACCCGATTTTAGTGACGTCTCATCGATATCAGTTAAAGAGGCAAGTAAAAGTACCGAACGAGCTGTACTCCTGAAAGGAAGAACATCAACGCCAAATATGATGCATTCCAATTCCGATACAACGACAACAAATTCGTCTTGTATCAGTCTCAGAGATCCCAACGATAGTTTAATTGCTCCAAATTTATTTCTTTCCCACGGAAAGAAGAATAGAGGAAAACAGACAAAACATCACTGATGTTGAAAATTTTTCAAGTAATTTTTTTACTTATCGATTACCATCTTTTGTTTTTGCCTCTTAAAGAAGAATCGGATGAAAAATTAGTCGTATTTTCAAAAAAAAATAAAAAAATTATTAAATTGCCAATTTAACTAATAGGAAAATAAAAAGTCAGACTAATTTTTTTTCCTTACAAGTCTTCCTTAATGGTGTCAAAAAATTGTAAAGAATAAATTTTAATACTATTATATAATTTTAATACGCTACGAAAAGTGAGTGAGTTTTGAAGTGTAAAAATGTGTTCATTATTGAGAATATATAAAAAAGATCGTATATATTTTTAGTTACAATTGTTTTCAAACTGCCGAAAATTTATTCAAGACTCGATTTTATATCAATTTGTGGATCAAATTGATCTTTGTAATTCACTTGATAATTGAATAGATTTCCGGTTTTATGATCTTTATTATTACATTTCGATCTTGTTAATAATCTGTACACTTTTTTTAAATATACTATATTTTAATACAAAACAAAGAAATTTTTTTATTCTATCCCAGCAAAAAGTGCGTCATTCAATTTTTACCTTCTTCAAAAGAATAAAATTTAAAAATTTCGGAAATCGGAAAATGTAGTCAATTACATTTTAAACAAATAATAAATTACATTATTTTATGGTTAATGTTATTTAATTTCTAAGAAAAATTGGATTTTATTTATTTTAATATCTTGTTCTTTGTAAAATTAAAAAAGTAGTTTTTAGAAATGTCAAATCACTTTTGTTTCAAATAATTACAATTTATCTCACTTTTGTAATTTGGAATTTAAAATAATTTAACTCTTGTATGGAATTAAATTTAAACTATTCAAAAAAATTCAATTGTTTCAAAAAATTGTATTACAATTTTTGAAAAAAATTATATTACAATTTTTGAAAAAAATTATTCTTAATTAAGAGAAATTTAATTAAAATTATATTTGAAAAAATTCAATTCTTGCAACGAATTTTATTATTTAAAAAAATTATTGAATTCTTGGTCACATAGTTATGAAATTTTTTAAAAAGAATTAAATTTCTGTGAAGAATTCAATTGAAATTTTCAAAAATAATTGAACTATATCGATAAATTTTAGTAAAATGGTATTGAAAATAATTAAATTCCTACAAAGAATTTTATTATTTATAAAAATAATTGAACTTTATGAAAGAATAATTTTTTATTTATAATAATTGAATTAATGGCAACAAATTTATTAATTGTTGGCAATTAAATTTATTTAAATTTTAAAAAAATAATTAAATTCTTTTGCGGAATTTAATTAAAATTGTTTTGTAAATAATTAAATTTATTTTAGACTCTTTTTAAATTTTTTTAAAATAATTGAATTCTTGGGAGAAATTTTGTTAAAATTGTATTAAAAATAATTGGATTTCTAAACAGAATTTTATTATTTATGAAAATAATTCAATTATTTCGAAAAATTTTTGAAAATAATTGAATTGTTTCAAAAGCTTTTTGAAAATAATTCAATTATTTCGAATAATTTCTTTACAATTTTCAAAAATAATTTTATTAATTATAAAAATAATTGAATTGTTGGCAATTAAATTTATTTAAATTTTAAGGAAATAATTGAACTTATTTCAGACTCCATTTAAAATTTTTTAAAATAATTGAATTCTTGAGAGAAATTTTGTTAAAATTGTATTAAAAATAATTAAATTCCTGGAAAGAATTTCATTATTTATAAAAATAATTGAATTGTTTCGAAAAATTTTTTAAAATAATTAAATTATTTCGAATAATTTCATAAGAATTTTTCAAAATAATTTAATTCCTGCAAAGAATTTTATTATTTATGAAAATAATTGAATTGTTTACTATCAAATTTATTAAAATTTTTGTAAATAATTAAATTCTTTGGCTTAATAATTCAATTAAAATTATTTTGGAAACAATTCAATTCTTCCAAAGAACTTTTAAAAATGTATTTTAAATAATTCAATTCTTTCAATTATTTTTTTAGAAATTAAATAATTTATTTTATACAACATAAACAATTAATTTAATAATTAAAAATAATTGAATTCTTGCGAGAAATTTAGTTAAAATTGTATTAAAAATAAATGAATTTCTAAACAGAATTTTATTATTTATGAAAATAATTGAATTATTTTGAAAATTTTTTGAAAATAATTGAATTGTTTAAAAAGTTTTTTTTGAAAATAATTCAATTATTTCGAAAAATTTTTGAAAATAATTTAATTGTTTCAGAAACTTTTTGAAAATAATTCAATTATTTTGAATAATTTCTTTAGAATTTTCAAAAATAATTTAATTTCTGCAAAGAATTTTATTATTTATGAAAATAATTGAATTCTTGACAATCAAATTTATTAAAATTTTTGTAAATAATTAAATTCTTTGGAGGAATAATTCAATTTTAATTTTGAAAATAATGGTATTTTTTTAAAAATCTTTTTAAAATTTTTTTTAAATAATTGAATTTTTGCTGAGAATTTTATTTAAATTTTTAAAAACAGTAGAATTCTTATGAGAAATTATGTTAAAATTTAAATTAATAATAATTGAATTTCTGGAAAGAATTTCAATTTATGAAAATAATTGAATTCTTGCAAAGAATTTTTTTATTTTTCAAAATAATTGAATTATTGTCAATCAAATTTATTTAAATTTTTGGAAATAATAATAAATAATGAATTAGTTAATAAGTGACTATATTTTTAATTCGAAATGAGTCAAAAATTAAAGTTGATATTCCAAAATAAAAAATTTTTTATTTTGCAATAATAATGATTATAATTATAATAGTAATAATTTTAATAAATTGTAATTTTTTGTAAAATTTGATACTACATATATATATTAATTATAAATATTTTAAAATATAAAATTTGAAAAACACGTGCAATTTACCATTCGCCATTGTCATTAAGTTATTAAAATTAACCAAATTGTAATAATCGTAACAATAATTTATTAATTTCAAAAACTCACCCCAATAATTTATCATGATTGTCACCAGAACATAACAATTGCTTTTCTTCAATTCAATAAAAAATTAACAATGAAAATTGAAAAAACACTTTCGTCAAAACCACGTCAAACTCCAAATTTTCAATTTAAAGTGAAGTTAGCTGCAATAGAATAGTCGACAGCGATTTATCGAAATTTTCGATTATAATCTAAAACCATAGACTTGCAAAAGAAACACAACTCAAATTTATATTCGCTCCATCTATATTACTGCATAAACTACAGCCAATTACCACAACTTGTCTTTCTATTTTTCCCATACTTTATGGCGTTGAAAAAAATTTCGCACATTATTACGTCACGTGAATCGATAATTATCGAAAATTCCTTCGATTTTTAGCTAATTTCGCGTACGTTTCTTTCAATGAATGCATTTTCTCATCAGTTAAATTGGTATATTAATTAAGTAGTATGTGTGTGTATAAATGCAGTGCGACTGATTTAGTGTAAAAAAAAGGAAAAAAATAGTTGCCTACTTTTACATGTTTTACTTACTTGTACATACTAGGATATAATTTATATACAATTTTTTTTTTGTTTACCTACGAGTCTAAAAGTACAAAACGCCATGAGTGAAAGTACAGAATTAACCGGAGCTTTATCTCAAGAAAATGTAGCCAAAGCCGAAAAATTCAAAGAACAGGCAAACGAATGCTTCAAAAGTAAGATATAAAACAATTGTTGAGTTTAAATAATGTTAATTTTGACAATTAAACAATAGTTTTATTTTACTCTGTATTTTTTTTTGCAATGCTGAAATGGAACAAGTCACGTGCATTAAAAACTAACCACACTTTTTCTCTTTTGTGAGATATGTAGAAAATCAAAAATGTTTCCAATTAATAGAAATTAAGTAATTAAACCAATTGATTCATGTGTCTTGGTAAATGATTCACTTAAAAATACAGATATTATGATTCAAACGAAATTTCGTTTTCAATTATCCAAATAATTTCTTTTTAAACTCTTGGAATTGAATAATTGGAAGAATACCAAATTTATTGTTTATATTGCATTATATTATAATCATACTTTGTCAGGCTTCACACTCTTCTACTAAAACCTGCTATTTGCTACTTTTTTTACGATTTCTTACTATTTGGATACTTTTCCAAGATTTGCGACACTAAAAGCTACTTTTATCTTTTTTTTAGAATTTACATTACTTTAAATCCGCTAATAATTGAAATAAAATAATTACTTTGAAAAAATTGAATAAAATTCTTAGAAATAATCCAAAAAAAATTGAATAAATTCTTAGAAATAATTCAAAAATTTTTAATAAAATTATTTGAAACCATTTACGAAAATAACGAAAATTCTTTCGACGAATTTTAATAAAATTTTTAAAAATAAATACATTTTTCGAAGAATTTGATTAAAATCAATTGACATTCTGCGATAAGTTTTATTAATTATGAAAAGAATATTTTTAACCTTTGTAAAAATTGTATTATTTATGAAAATAATGAAAATATTCCGAAAAAATTAAAAAAAATTGTAAATAATTAAATTCCTGTGAAATTTAAATTTATGCAAAGATTTTATTAAAATTTATTTTAAAAAATTGAATCTTTAAGGAAAACTTAATTAAAATTGTAATGAAAATAATTCAATTCTTTTATAGAATTTTATTCAAATTTTCGAAAATAATGAAATTTTTTCGAAAAATTTTATTAAAATTTATTTTAAAAAATTGAATCCTTATAAGAGAAACTTTATTAAAATTGTATTAAAAATAATTGAATTCTTGCAAATTTTTTTGACGAATTTAATTAAAATTGTATTAAAAATAATTTAAATTGTCTTTAATACCTACTATTTCAATCAAATTTTACAACTAGAAATTTAAATATTTCAAAACCAATTTTTAATAATATTCCTCGCAAAAAATCAATTATTTTAAAAAATAATAAAATTTCCAAAGAAATTCAATTATTTCAAATATATAATTTAAAAACAAATATTTTGAAAGAAATGAAATATATTTAAAAAATTGTTTTGAAAGAAATTAAATATTTAAAAAAAATTTTATAAAATTCTATGAACTAAATCAATTATTTTAATTAATTTTGAAAACATTTTTTTATAAGAATTTAGTTATTTTTAATACAATTTTCATTATATTCCTCGAAAGAATTTAATTATTTTCAAAATTTTTATTAAAGAGTTCTTCGCAAAAATTCAATTATTTAAAAAAATGTTAATAAAATTCAATTATTTTCATGAATAGTAAAATTCTTTGCCGAATTTCAATTTTCTTTAATTTGAATATAATTTTAAATAAATTCCTCGAAAAATGCAATTATTTCTTAAAAATTTTATTAAAATTCTTCAAAAAAATTCAATTATTTAAAAAAATGTTAATAAAATTCAATTATTTTCATGAATATTAAAATTCTTTGCCGAATTTCAATTTTCTTTAATTTGAAAATAATTTTAAATAAATTCCTCGAAGAATGCAATTATTTTTTAAAAATTTTATTAAAATTCTTTGAAAAATTTAATTATTTTTAAAAATTGCGATAAAATACCTACTTTATACAAATTTCAAAAGATTTTAAATTGTCTGTCTTTGAAAGTTTCAATTGTTGTAAAACTGTAATAATATTTAAATATATTTAGTTTAAAAAATTCTTAATTTATTATTTTCCTAAAAAATGTTTAAAGTTTTGAATAATTTTATTTAAAAATTCAAAAAAAATGATTGAATTTTGAAAGAATTTCAGTTGTAATTTTTAGAAATAATTAAATTTCAAAAAGGTTTTACATTGAAATTATTAAAAATATTAATTCTTGTGGGAAAAAAAATTTAATTATTTGTTTAAGAAAGATTATACAAGTATTGAAATTTAGAAATTATGAAAAAGAAATAGTCCTCTGAAAAATTGTAATTAAAATTTTTTGATGATTGTTAAATTCCTGTAAATAAATTGAAAAGATTAAATTTTTAATCAAATTTAATTTTAATTCGATAGATACTTTTTACTCCTTTTTTCATTCTTAAAGCTACTTTTAGCTACTTTTTAAAAATTTATAATCGAGTGTGAAAGCCTGAAAATATGAATATGACTAGTAAAAAAAAAATATTAAAACGTAGAAATAGTAAAATGTGAGTAATGTTGAAAAAAAATTCTTTTTTAATAGATCAGGATTACAACAAAGCTATCGAACTCTACTGCAAAGCAATTGAGATTGATCCGACTGTAGCAGTCTACTATGGAAATAGAAGTTTTGCCTATTTGAAAATTGAATGTTTTGGATATGCTTTAGAAGATGCATCAAAATCCATTGAATTAGATAGAAATTACGTAAAGGGTTATTATCGGCGAGCGGCAGCTTTTATGTCACTGGGAAAATTTAAACAAGCTCTAAAAGATTACGAGACAGTTACAAAAGCTAAGCCCAATGATAAGGATGCAAAAACAAAATACACGGAATGCAATAAAATTGTCAAAAAACTCGCATTTGAAAAGGCAATTTCGGTGGAGGAGAACAAACGAAATATTGCCGATACAATTAATTTAGATGCAATGGGTAAGAATTGTTTATAAACAATTAAGTTTCATAATAATCTACAATAAAAAAAATGAAATTTCGCGTTTCGTTTGCAAAAACGTCTAAGATTTGCTAATGAGAAAAATAATAATTATATGTTCATTTATCTACATTAATTTCTTTTACAGCTATCGAAGACGAATATACAGGACCAAAATTAGAGGACGATAAAATAACGCTGAAATTCATGGAGGAATTACTCGACTACTATAGAAATCAATGTAAACTTCATCGAAAATATGCGTATAAAATTCTTCTCGATATAAAAACACTATTCGTGTCACAGCCGAGCTTAGTTGACATTACAATTCCTGACGATAATAAGTTTACAATTTGTGGAGATATTCATGGTCAATTTTATGACTTGCTTCATATTTTTGAACTCAATGGTCTACCGTCAGAAACAAATCCATATGTATCCTTTTTACAATTTTAACTAATTGAATTTTCGACAAACATTTATTTAAAAAATTTAATTAATTAAAAAATTTACTTTAATTAATAAAAAATTTAATTAATTAAAAAAATTTACTTCAATTATTAAATAACTGTCAGTATAATAACTATTTTATTCGATAAACTTGTTTGCAAAGTTAATTCCTTAATATTGAAATAGTTATTTAATGGAGACTTTGTTGATCGAGGTTCCTTCTCAGTTGAGTGTATTTTCACACTATTTGGATTCAAACTTTTATTCCCTAATCACTTTTTCATGTCGAGAGGTAAAAATTACATCTATGAATAATTAATTGAAAAAAGATAAAAAATAAAAAAATTAATTGAAAAGAAATTAAATTTTTAAAATGAAATTTAGGTAATCACGAGTCAGCGACGATGAATCAAATGTATGGCTTCGATGGTGAAGTGAAATCAAAGTACAGCGCTCAAATGGCTGAATTATTTACAGAAGTCTACAATTGGTTGCCCTTGGCGCACTGTCTCAATAATAAAGTTCTTGTAAGTAAAATTATCAATTTTTACGATTTTCTTTTTTTCAATTCTCTAATTTATTTTTATTTCACTAAAGGTCATGCACGGTGGACTCTTTTCGAGGGACGACGTAACTTTAAAAGAAATACGAGAAATTGATAGGAATAGACAACCGCCCGATGAGGGATTAATGTGTGAATTATTGTGGTCGGATCCACAGCCACAAGAGGGAAGAGCGCCTAGCAAAAGGGGAGTTGGTGTTCAATTTGGACCAGACGTTACGAGTAAATTCCTTCAAACAAATAAACTCGAATACATCGTGAGGAGTCACGAAGTTAAACAAGACGGCTACGAAGTTGGCCACAATGGAAAATGCATAACTGTATTTTCTGCTCCAAATTATTGGTAAGAAAAAATTTTTAATACTTATAATTCTTCGCAAGAATTCAATTATTTTTATATAAATAATAACATTCTTTGGAAGAATTCAATTATTTTTATAAATATTAAATTGTTTTGGCAAAAATTCCATTATTTTTATAAATAGTAAAATTCTTTGCAGGAATTCAATTATTTTCAAAACAATTTTAATTGAATTCCTCAGCAGATTTCAAATATTTTCAAATATTTCCATAAAATTCAATTATTTCCTATAAAATATTAATAAATTCTTCGAAAGAATTCAACTATTTTTATAAATACTAAAATTCTTTGCAGGAATTAAATTATTTTTAATCCAATTTATGTAAAATTACACGAAAGAATTTAATTATTTTCAAAAATTTCCATAAAATTCAATATCAACAAGAATTTTAAATTCTCTAAAAATAATTCAATTATTCTCAAAATATTTTTAAAAATTCTATATGAAAATTAAATTACTTTCAATGCAATTTTTAAATATATTCGACAAAAAAATTGAACGAATTCAATTATTTTCGAAACAACTTTAATTGAATTTCTCGAAAGAATTTTTGTAAATAATTCAATTCTTCTAAAGAACTTTTGAAATTTTTTTTAAAATAATTAAATTCTTTTAATATTTCTTATAAAAATTGAATTCCTGCGAAGGCATTTACTTCGTAAAAATATTGAATTTTTGAAAATAATTTTAATTGAAAATTTTGAAAATAATTAAAATTTACAAAGAATTTTATTAAAATTATCTTGAATATAATTGAATTTTTTCCTAGAAATTTAATTAAAATTGTATTGAAAATAATTGAATTTCTCAGAAGAATTTTATTATTGACAAAAATAATTGTATTCTTTCGAGAAATTTTATTAAAATTGTATTGAAAATAATTGAATTCCTCCGAAACATTTTATTATTTATGAAAATAATTGAATTCATTAAAAAGAATTTTATTAAAATATTTGGAAAACAAAAAATAATAATAATTAGGTAATTACTTAATAAGTGCATTTTTTTTTAAATTTTGATTCTTAACTTTCAATAATTAAAGTTAATATTCAAAACTGAAAAGAATCGTAACGTTTAAATAAATATTAACGTTGTTAATAAAAAAAATTTTGTAAGTGCGTAAAAATAATAAAAATATATATTTTTTAGCGATACAATGGGGAACCTTGGTGCCTTCATCAAACTCAACGGCAAAGATATGAAACCGAAATTCACATCATACGAAGCAGTCGTAAGTTCAAATTTTTTGTCAAACAATATTATACAAAAGTAATAATTTTATAAACTTTTTTTAATCTCATAAAATTTAACAATTTTCCTCCTTGGAATTAAACATATCGATGGGGCAAATAATTAATAATTTTATGAACCAAAAAAACTGATTATTTAAAAAAAAATTAATTAAACTCAAAAATATGTTTCTAATAAAATTCCTACCTATTCTAAAAAAAAAAATTTATTTACAGCCACATCCGAACGTGAGGCCGATGGCGTACGCAAATTCTCTACTAAAGTTTATGTAGTAGCAAATAGAGAAGTTTAGGAACATGATTGTTAATTAAAGAGAAAAACATAACAAAAAGAAAACAGGTAGCCCAATCAAAGTGTGTGCAAAAAATATACACAATGCTGATCCAGAAATGATAAAAAGAAAATGACTCTTTGCATTAAAATTAATTTATATGCGAAATAAAAGAAGAGTACAAGAAATAAAATTCAAATTTCCAGTGAAAATTTACGAAAAAACAAATTCCACTGATTGTGAAATCATAATAAAATCGGTATTTTGTAAATCTTTATGAACATTTTAGTACCAATTTGATAATGTCCAGTATCCAGAAAAAAAAGAATAGAGCTTTCTGCTAATTTAGTAATTCGACACTTATCGATCGTTTGGAAAGAGTAATGACAAGAATCAATTATATCTTAATGAAAAAAAAACTTTTTTTGTTCGTAGATTTTGCTTTGCTCTTTTAAAAAAAACGATCAAAGGTCGACAGAGATTGAGTTGATAATTAAAAAAAAATTGTAATAGAAAACTTAATTAATAGCATGAGCAAGTAGCGTAATTTTATACAAATTTCTTGTTTTTTTTATTTGTTAATGAATAAATAAATTTATAATGTAATCAAGACTTGGTGATTATTTTTTGAAAACAACCTAATATTCGTTTCAACAAAATAGTATATTTAAAAAGTAACTGTTAAAATAATTTTTAACACGTGCATGTTATTGAAAACTTGTTTTTTATCAATTTACTAGAGCGAGGAAATAAACATATAAATTATAACTCGTTTTGAAAAAAAATTATATACAAATTATTGTAAAAAGAAGTTTAAACATTGAGGAACAAAGTAAGTTAATGTTTCTAACAACTATAAATCATACAATGTATAATTTATTTTTTTTTCTTTATATAAAATATAAAAAATATCTAATTACAGAGTCAGTCGGAGAAAATCAATTTCAAATCATGGTTTGGATACCGGGACCAATTTTTCAAGATTTGTGTGATATGGGAGAAAAATGTACAGATTGTCCCTCACAAATTGTCATGTTTGTGACGATTCTCTCTCTTATTTTCGGACAAAGTGACAAAAAATCGCCCCGTAAAATACCGAGAGAATTAGATTTTATAATTGTCGGAGCAGGTTCAGCGGGTTGTGTTCTCGCTAATCGTTTAACGGAAAACAGAAATTGGAATGTGAATAAAAGATTTTCTTACTTCTCGAAAGAATTTCAATTCAAATAGAAAAGAATTATATTTTAAGAAGAATTTTTGTTTATTAGGTTCTCCTTTTGGAAGCTGGTGAAGAACAAATTGAAATTTTGCGATTGCCATCGGTATTTCTAGCAACACTTGGCAGTAATTTTGATTGGGATTATAAAACAGAAGCAGAAAATAATTCCTGTCGAAAAAATGGATGCATAATGCCTCGAGGGAAGGTGACTAATTAATAAATTAGTTCTACAAAATTAATTCTCAAAGAGTTCTATAAATTAACTTCGCCTCAGTCTAAACGCATCTTTAGTCATTAATTTAAGAATTCGTAGTTAATTTAAAAATGTAATTTTAATGAAATTTTAATCGAATGAAATTTAATTCTTTTAGAATTTAACTCAAATGAAATTTTATTTGATTGTAATATTTAAATCGAATGAAATTCAATTCGATTGAAATTTTATTCGATTGAATTTTAACTCAAATGATATTGAATTAAATTGAATTTTAATTCGATTGCAATTTAACTTGAGTGAAATTTTATTCGATTGAAATTTAACTCGAATAAAATTTAATTCTAATGAAATTTAATCCAAATGAAATTTAAATCGAATTAAATTTAATTCAACTGAAATAGAATTCTATTGAAATTGAATTTAAATTTTAAAAAAATATTTTCTGGTTCAAAAGACAATGGGTGGAACAAGTTCCATAAACGGTATGTTGTACGTCAGAGGATCTCCTTCGGATTATAATGAATGGGCTGAATTGGGTAACAAAGGATGGAACTACGAAAGAGTTTTGCACTATTTCAAAAAATCCGAAAATAATCGAGATGATGACGTGAGTAGCAAAAACTAATTATTATCAACTAGAATTTCATTGTAATATCAGGACTCGGATAGTATAAATTTTTAGACTTCTTTAAACTATTTTTAAAAAGTAGATTATTTTTAAGGCGATAGTTTATTGGGAATTTTTCATTTTTTCTTAAGTATTTCATTAAAATTTTAAAGAATTTTAATTGCAAATTTTGGAAATAATTGGTGTTAAAACCAAATAGTCGAGGAACAATAACGCTAAATTCCTCGGATCCAATTTTGGGAGCTCCTGTAATTCGTCATGGATTCTTCACCAAGAGTCCGGATCGTGAACGTTTCTTGGAAGGAATAAGAATTTTTCTTCAATTATTTAAGACAAAAACTTTCCAGGAAAATGAAATGACACTCGATGAAACACCTTGGCCTCTCTGTAAACAATTTCCATTTAATTCCGATGATTATTGGTCGTGTATGCTGACATATTACACGACTACTATTTATCATCCGGTGGGAACTTGTAAAATGGGTCCAAAATCCGATAAGGAAGCTGTTGTCGATCCTAGATTACGAGTCTACGGAATAAAAGAACTGAGAGTTGTCGATGCGTCAATAATGCCGAAAATTGTTCGCGGCAATACGAACGCACCGACTATTATGATTGCCGAAAAGGCCAGCGATATGATTAAGAAAGATTGGAAGAGGAAAAATTTCTAACAAATAATAAAAAAAATAGATTAATACAATAAAATATTAATCATGAATTTAGAACTATCTATATTAATAATTCAGGGTTGCCACGATTTTTTTCATTTCAAATTCCCTGACTTTTCCAGGTTTTTAAAACTACATTTGTTGTCAACAAAAATTTAATTTTCTTTTTCCCTGACTTTCCCTTAAATTCGAGACAAGATTCTCACTATTCTCCTTGACTCTAAAGAATATTCTCATTCGGTTTAAAAATTATTATTCAGAAAACTGTTCTATTGCTTCTTTTTTTTAAATAAATGTTTAATCATTATTATTTTTCTATAAAAATTAAAATTTTACAAAACATTCAAATTCAAACCTTTTTGAAATTAAATAATTTTAAAAAAAAATTGTTACAAAACATGAAGAAATTGATCACTCCAAGTTTTCGATATAATATATTAATTAAAAAACAATACTTAAAAAAAATACCGCGAATTGAAGATAATTATTAGTTTTTCGTTTTAAAACCATTTTTTTCAATAACAATAATTTTTATAATCAAGTATTTACTTAGAGACTAGTTTATTTTATCTTTATATTTTATCAATTCAGTATTCCATGAAAAATAAACTTCTAAACACGAAAACAGTTAGTCACTTGGAAAAATTATTAATTGTTACAAAAGTCAATTTAAAATATTCAATACAAAAAATAGAGAATGTAAGTTTTTCAATGTTATCAATAATTTTTTTGGACAAGTAAAATAGTATTTTGAAAAGAAAAATATAAAAATGAAAAAACTATTTTTAAAATTACGAAATTAATTTAAAATAAATTTATTTAACAAATATTTCACACAACAAAAATTTTATTTAATTGTTAAATTAATTTAAAGTGAATAGAGCAAAAAATAGATATAAAAAATTATGGAAAATTTGTTTATAAATATAACAAATGTTGAAATATGACAAATATTTGTAACCAAATTATAGATTAGGCACTTGAGATTAATTTCGACCCAAGAAATATAATTTAGTTGAAATTAATTTAAAATTTAGAACAATAGATACCTAATTAAAAATTTGAAATTAATTTACAGAATTATGGCTTGGATACCGGGACCACAATTTCAAGATTTGTGTGATTTAGGTGAAAAATGTACCAATTGTCCATCGCAGACTATAATGTTCGTAACAATTCTGTCGATTATATTCGGACAATCGAGAGACAAAAAATCGCCCCGTAAACTACCAAGTGAATTAGATTTTATAATTGTCGGAGCTGGTTCAGCGGGTTGTGTATTAGCTAATCGTTTAACCGAAATCGAAAAGTGGAATGTAAATAAATTTTATTTAATATTTTCCCTGACATTTCACTCATTTATGAATTTAATTATTTGAAAAATTTAAATTTTTAATTTATTCACAAATTTTAATTAAACAGTTTTAAATATTTTAATAAAATCCCTTGAATAAATTAAATTATTACAAAAAATTGAAATAAAATTCTGAAAAGAATTTAATTATTTTCTTAAAATTTTAATAAAATCCAATACCTAATTTACAAACATGAAAGAAATTCTTTTTATAATTCAATTAATTTCAAAATTGTTAATGAAAATTATTAAAGAAACTCTATTACTTTCAAGAATTGAAAGAAATTCTTAAAAAGAATTTAATTATAGGATTTTCCAAAATTTTAAAAAAATTCTGAAAAGAATTTAATTATTTATGAAAATCATTGAATTTCCGCGATGAATTTTATTAAAATTTTTAAAAATCCTAATTAAATTCTTTTATAGAATTTCTTTGAATTTTTTAAAAATAATGGAGTTTCTTAAATAAATTTAATTGAAAATTTTGAAAGCAATTGAATTTTATGAAGAAGAATTTTATTAAAATTGTATTTAAAATAATTGAATTCCTGAGAAGAATTTTATTATTTATAAAAATAATTATATTCATGCGAAGAATTTTACTATTTATAAAAATAATTGAATTGATCCGAAGAATTTATTACAATTTTAGGAAATAAATTAATTTTATCTAAATATTTAAAAATAATTAAATTCTTTTGAGGAATTCTATTAAAATTATTTTGAAAAGAATTGAATTTCTGCAAAGAATTTTACTATTTATAAAAATAATTGAAATGATCGAAGACTTTGTTAAAATTTTAGGAAAAATTGAATTGTTTTGAAGAATTTTTTAGAAATATTTGAAAATAATTCAATTCTTTTGAGAAATTCAATTAAAGTTATTTCGTAAACAATTGAATTCTTTCAATTTTTTTGACGAATATATTTAAAAATTGCATTGAAAGTAATTTATAATTTTCATACAGAATTTTTAAAAATATTTTGAGAATAATTGAATTATTTTTAGAGAATTTTAAATTTCTTGTTGAAATTGAATTTTATGGAAATTTTTGAAAATAATTAAATTCTTTCGTGTAATTTTATTTAAATTGGATTAAAAATAATTTAATAATAATTGCGAAGAATTGTACTATTTATAGAAATAATTGAATTCTTTAGTGAAATTTTATTAAAATTTTAGAAAATGATTTGCTAGTGATTATTTATAAAGATGATGATTAAATATTTTTAAAAAAATTAATAAAATTACATATTATTATTAATAAATAAAATTTTTTAGGTTCTCCTTTTAGAAGCTGGTGGGGAAGAATTGAAAATTAATGAACTGCCATCGGCGCCTTTTATTCTGCACAACAGTAATGTTGATTGGAAATATAAAACTGAACCAGAAAAATATTCATGTCAAGCTAACAATGGCTGTCTTATGCCGCGTGGTAAAGTAAGTATGTAAACTAACAATCAGAATTCAACTGAGAAAAAAAATAATTCTCATTTTTTTCTAAAGGTAATGGGTGGTACGAGTTCCACCAATGGATTATTATATGTAAGAGGATCCCCTTCAGATTATGATGAATGGGCCAAATTGGGTAACAAGGGTTGGAATTCCAAGGAAGCACTGCACTATTTCAAAAAATCCGAAAATAATCGAGATGATAATGTGAGGAAAAACCTTTTTATCCATTTAGTCAGCTAATTCACCTAAAAATCACAATTTTGATCTATTATTAATTAATAAATAAATATTAATAATAATAATAATAAATTTTTCCAACTAATGAATTCTATCAAATATATTCAATTTTTAGAAAACTGAATATTCAGATTTCAAAAAAATTCTATCAAATACTCTATCTAATTTTTGAATAACTGAATATTCGAAATAATTTACAGATTATAAAAGCAAATCCAAAATATCACAATAAAGGTGGATATCTAGGAGTTGAAAAATGTCGATACAACGATACAAATGCCCAACTATTAGCAAAAGCCTGGCAAGAATTAGGTTACGACTACATTGATGTGAATGCCGATAAACAAATTGGTGTAATGATCCTACAAACAACCTCACTTAATGGAAGGCGACAAAGTACGAATGATGCTTTCATCCGACCGATTAGAGAGAAACGAAAAAATCTTTTTATTGAAACAGAAGCATTCGTCACAAAAATCAAAATAGATCCAAAAACGAAAAGAGCTATCGGCGTCGAATACACCAATAAGGACGGAAAACAAAAAACACTAACAGCACGAAAAGAAGTAATTATATCAGCCGGTACAATAAATTCTCCAAAATTGCTAATGATCTCCGGAATCGGACCCGAGAAAGAATTAAAGAAGCACAATATAAATATTTTGAAAAATCTCTCAGTTGGTCGAAATCTTCACGATCATGTGACAGTTGGTGGACTGCAGATTAAACTAAACAAGACATCGACAAAAAAGAGTCTGAAGAGAAGAATTCAGGACCTCGAGTTGTACATGAAGAATCAATCTGGTCCCCTTGCTGCTAACGGTCCTCTCTCAAGTGCCGCCTTCATCAGAACGAAATTCGAAAAAAATCAACAAGTTCCAGATTTATCGTACAATTTTGCACCCTTTGATAGCAGTGATAAAATGACAACATCAAATTCCTACGATTCAATAGTCGTAATACCATTTGTCTTGAATCCAAATAGTCGAGGAACAATAACGCTAAATTCCTCGGATCCAATTTGGGGAGCTCCTATAATTCGTCAAGGATTCTTCACCAAGAGTCCGGATCGTGAACGTCTCTTGAAGGGAATAAGAATTTTTCTCCAATTATTTAAGACAAAAACTTTCCAGGAAAATGAAATGACACTCGATGAAACACCTTGGCCTCTCTGTAAACAATTTTCATTTAATAGCGATGATTATTGGTTCTGTATGATGAAACAATACACGGAAACTGATTATCATCCGGTGGGCACTTGTAAAATGGGTCCAAAATCCGATAGGGAAGCTGTTGTCGATCCTAGATTACGAGTCTACGGAATAAAAGGACTGAGAGTTGTCGATGCGTCAATAATGCCGAAAATTATTCGCGGCAATACGAACGCACCGACTATTATGATTGCCGAAAAGGCCAGCGATATGATTAAAAAAGATTGGCTTTCATGGTGGAGTAAAATTCGTTCTCTTCTCATTCGGAATTGACATTCTTTAGAAAGTTGAATTAACAATTAAAAATTTCTACAGGGTTGCTGGAAAAATTTACTTTTGTTTTTCCCTGACTTTTCCCTGATTTCCAAATAGAATTTTAACATTTTTTCTGATTTCTCTAACAGTCTTCATACTTGATTATAAATTTTAAAAAAGTATCAAAAAGTATGAATGAAAAAAGTTGTAAAAAGTATTTCTCTAAAAATTAAATTTGACTAAAAATTGAACTCGAAATTGAATTTAATCTTTTCAATTTATTTACAGGAATTTAGCAATCTAAAATTTTAATTACAATTTTTCAAACGACTAACTCTTATTCATAATTTCCAAATTTCAATACTTGTACAATCTCTTAAATAAATAATTAAATACTGTTTTCCACAGGAATTAATATTTTCAATAATTTCAATGTAAAACCTTTTTTTTATTCTTTCTAAGATTCTTTCTAAAAATTACAACTGTAATTCTTGCAAAATTCAATAATTTTTTTTTTTAATTTTTAAATAAAAATATTCAAAACTTTAATAATTTTTTAGGAAAATAACGAATTCAAATACGAATTTTTGAAAGATTTCAGATTCAAACTTTGAAAAAATTCAATTATTAACTAATTTACTAATTAATTATTCTTGTTTATTAATTTTAAAAATTTTAATAAAATTCTTCACAAGAATTCAATTATTTTCATAAATAATAAAATTCTTCGTAAAAATTCAATTATTATCAAAAAAAAATTTCACAAAACAATTCAATTTTTTTCTTAAATTGTTATAAAGTCTGCAAAAATTTAATTATTTAACAAAAAAAATTCACGAAACAATTCAATTTTATTTATAAATAGTAAAAATTTTTGGAAAAATTCAATTATTTATAATACAATTAATTAATAACATTTCATAAAAGAATTCAATTTAAAAAAAATTTTTAATAATATTTTTCGAAAAAATTTAATTATTTTCTTAACTTTGAATAAATTCTTCGAAACAATTCAATTATATTTATAAATAATAAAGTTCTTCGTAAAAATTCAATTATTTTCAAAAAAATGTCACGAAAGAATTAAATTTTGTTCTTAATTTGTTATAAAATTTTTCAAAACAATTCAATTATTTTCTGAAATTTTAATAAAATTCAAGAATTAAATGTTTAATTTCAATTATTAATAAACACGATTATTTTAAAAACTTGAAAGCAACTGTTCATAAAATTCAATTATTTTCAAAAATTTTAATGAAAATTATTTAAAAAACTCCATTATTTAAAAAATAATTGAAAGAAATTCTTCAAAAGAATTTACTTGATTAGAATTTTCATAAATTTTAATAAAATTCTTCACGAGAAGAAGTTAAGTCGTGAAGATACTTTGAACTTCGCTTGGGGTGCCTAATCACCCCAGTTTTCCGTTCTAGGGTTGATAATAAGATTACAATAATTAAACAACAGGATTTGCTCAAAAAAAAAAAAAAATGGAAAAATCGAGAAACTAACGTAAGGATAGGGAGGATAAATTCATTTCACGCCTATTAGAATACAAAATCATTTTGGAAACATTATCAAACCTAAACAGCATAAATCCGTAGCGAACATCGATATTTCATCGCGTTATCTCCTAGGTAGCTATTAATTAGGTAGCATGTTTGCACAGGATCTATCTACACACGCATATTGCTCTATCTTGCATCCGGCTATGTCCTTGTATCTACCGGTTGCGCAAATAGACTCCCCATTTTCAAAAATACACACCAAAACACTAATCAACCGGAAATTTACAATATTACCTGCATTATCATATTTTAAACACCCTCCAAAAAAATAATTCCCCAATTCAAATACAATTTAAATTGTATTTTAAATTTAAATACAATTCCAAGATGAAGAAGAAGAAGAATATTTAACTATTTATTAATTAAATATTTAATTATTTATTAATTAATATTTAATTATTCATTAATTAATAGTTGTTAATTATTTATTAATATTTATTAATATTAATAAAAATTCGAGACTATAAGACAAGTGACTAAATATGTAGTTAATTTTTTTTGCACTAATTTTCAAATCGAATTGTCGCCTTTCGGTGAGAATACCTAATATTACTGATGCGACACTGCATGCAACACTGACCAGTTGCAAATAACGCGTAATCTAGATTCCAATTTTAACTACTCTATCAGTGGAAGATTAAGGGGGCTTAGATTGCAGATCATGTTTGTCCCTAAACGCATAGTCTTATGGCCCATTAGTTCTTCATTAGAATTCGCTCTTAGTCCGAGGTGTGTAATGACACCATAACCCTGTCCTACTCAAAGGTATTGTGGAAAGCAATTTTCTAAAACATTCAAATGTCTTTGTAATTCCAATGAAATAGTTCAATCTCTCCAATAATGATGATAGTAATAATAATAATAATAATAATAATAATAATAATAATAATATTAATAAGTCCTTCCACATTTCTAAATAAATAAATACAATCCTTCCTCTATGAGGAAGAAAAAATAAAAATAATAGTAATGATAATATTGTAAAAAAACTGTAATAAAATCTGAATACAGAAAAAAACAGTATTATTCGTATTATTCGTTGGAAAAGACTAACGATTAGCTAAAATTGAACCAAATTCTATTTTTTTCTATTCTTCTTTACTATGTAATTATTATCATCTAATTTTCTTTTTGTCACAAATTGACTTCAGTGTAATAACGAAAGCAATAGGGACTTACCGATCGCTGATTGTGTCCCTCGAAGCGATACTTTGCGTTTCTCCTCCACTTCCTTCCGAATCAGTTTGCGAAAAACAATAAATCCGTCCCAGTTTAAAATCAAACATTCACGACGAGAATTCCTTCCAATCGTCCAAAACAAGAATTGAAGATTTGAAGATGAAGAATTTTTGTAGTCAGCTCCATCACACGTTTAATTTCCAATCGTCATTTCCCTCAAAATTATAAAATTCGTTGCTTCTCCATTTTCTTCCGAATCATTTTTCAAAAACGGAGAATCAAAACCAAAGATCGGAGATGCTCGATGACAATTTTTCCCAATAGTCGAAAACAAGAGTTGAAGGACTGAAGAATACTTGTACAGTTACTCGGCTCCTCCACACGGTCAAAAAGTGTCAGGATAACATTCAAACACTTTAAATATTAATACCTAAAATCGAAAAAAATGTTAATCTTCACGTTCTACCGAAATGGAAGTAATAAAAAGAAAAGAATGATAGTAACAAAATAGAATCGTATTTTTTACGTTTGAATAATAGTATAGAGAAAATTAATAATTAAATATTTGCTTACACTTTTTTCTTCTCTCTTATGTCTTGAGTCTTCTCCCACCTTTTTTGCATATTACTCTGAAATTCTTAGCATCTAATTTTCTAAATATGTTACAACTTGACTCCACTACAATATTGGAGGCAAGAGGGACTCACCGAACGCTGATTGTCTCACTCAAAGCGATACACAGCATTTCTCCTCCACTTCTCCTCCGAATAAGTCTGCGAAAAACGGAGAATCGAGCGCATTTCAAAATCGGAAATGCACGATGAAAATTCCTGCCAATAATCCAAAACAAGTACTAAAGAAATGAAGAATTCTTGTATTCAGCTTCGTTACGCGTTCAGAAAATAATTGAGGAACATTCAAACACCTCCCTGTAGCCTGAAACAATATTTTTCAATTAATTTTTATGTCCTACTAAAATTTAAAGTAATAATTGAATTAATAATAATAATCTACATGAATGAATTTGAATTTTAAAATTAATAAAACTCTAATTTACTGCTTTAAAGAATTTAGTTATTTCAGAAAATAATTGAATTCTTGAATAGAATTTTATTAAAACTTTTTTGAATAATTGAATCCCTGCGAAAAAAATTATTTCTACGCTTAATTGAATTTTTGCATAATTTTAAAAATAAGTGAATTTTTGAGAAGAATTTGAATAAAATTGTATTTAAATTAATTGAATTTTTGAAAAGAATTTTAAAAAAATGTTTAAAAATAATTTAATTTTCCCTGGAATTCAATTAAAATTATATTTAAAATAATTGAATTCCAGCGAAAATTTCATTATTTTTAAAAATAATTGAATTCTCGCGAAGAATTTTGTTAAAAATTTTGAAAGTAATTGAATTCTTTTGAAAAATTTTATAACAAATAAAAAAAAATGCATTTTTTCATGGAATTTTTTTGAAAATAATTAAATTTTTGCAATTTTACTATTTAAAAACAATTGAACTGTTTTAAAGGATTTATTAAAATTTTAATCAAAATTCCTAAAAATAATTAAATTACTTTAAGAAATTTTTTTCCAAATTATATTAAGAATAATTAAATTGCTCCGAAGAATTGTATTATTTTTGAAAATACATTTTATTAAAAATTTTGGAAATAATTTAATTGTTTCGAAGAAAATTAAAATTCTTTTGTAGTTAAAATTGCATAGAAAATAATTGAATTATTATAAAGAATTGTATACAAAATTTTGAAAGCAATTGATTTATTTCGACGAATTATATTAAAGTTTTTCATTAATAATAATTGAATTTTTTTTGAGGAATTTCATTTAAATTGTATTAAAAATTAATTAAATTCCTGTAAAGAATTATATTAATTTATGAAAATAATCAAATTCCTTCATTACTTAAATAAGAGAATTTTCTTTAATTTTGAATCTGAAAATCATTCAAAAATTGAAGTTATTTGAAAATAACAAATTTGAAATTTTCATGATAATAATAAAAATACCGAATTTCGCTCGTAATATTTTCGAATATAAACTAATGAATTGAATAAGAGAAAAAGAAAAAGATGCGTAAGTAAAAAGTAATGTTAGAATTTTTTTCAGAAAGTTGAAGAGTGCAGCTCTCTAATTATTTAACTTGATTTTCAATAAGAGAAGAATGAAAGTACTTTTAATTCGATGAGAATGAGGCGGAGAATAACTGGAGTGTTTTCGAAACTCAATTATTTTCGACCTGTTTAATTTTCTCAATTACCAACTCGTTATTACGGACTAGTGAATTATATTAGATTCTATTTGAGTACACACGCAGAACCTATTAAAAGAAAAAGAAAAATCAAATAAAGAATAAATGACAAGTGCAATCTGCAGATACTCAAAAATTATTGCACTGT